CAAAACATGACACCGAGCAGTATTTATTGTTTATTGTGATAATAACTCAAATACGTTCTGTCTTATTAGAGTTTGATCTGTTTCAAACGAGCATCAATTTCGATATTGAATTTTACACATTTAAACTTATAATCTGTAACAATAGCTTGCAGAAGCTCAATATACTTGTATTGCTGAACTATTAAAGTGATATAAGTGGTATATGTAGACACCAGCTTATGCAGATTTAGAACATGAAATGCGAGAAGAACAAATTTGTGGCAATTTGCCTACGATTTTATGTAACTATTTTTTTTTCGTAATTTTTGATCTATTTCTGGTGGATTTCAGTGTCGCTATAATGAACATAATTGTAGCTGAATCATGGATTTTTCAGTCATTTCAAGTACAACTAACGTGAGTGATGTTTTTGAAAAGGTTTCTTGCAGTTGTGACTCCATAACACCTCCCACAGTGTTTTTGGATGCATTGTAATCAATGTTGTGTGAATCAAAATACGAGTGTTACATACAAACGGGACAAAATTGATGCTATGCTCTTCTAAAATGCCTACTACTGCGTGAAATATTTCACGAAGTGAACAATTATTGCGTTCATATATATTCGCTTCTCTATAAAAAAAAACCTTTTTATAGATATTAGTAATCATCCTAATCGCTTCTTTTTTCGAGTTCAAGTCCAGTGTCTAGTTGTTTTATTAAATGCGGAAACGTAGTTAGGTAATATCTACATTGTTATCATGATTTCCGTGATAGAAAAAAAAGGGGCATGGTGTTTGAGGAAAGAATTTAGCGAGTGACATTTATACTTCCTGAAAAAAGTTGTCTACCACTATGATTAATCAGAAATAAAAAAATTTCCTGTTTGTTCTGAAATCATTCTATTTTAAATTTATCGTTTATCTTTCGTTTCTCTTGAAGAGTATGTTTAACATGTTTGCTTTTCTTTTTTAGAGAAAATAATATACTTAACGGATTTACGTTATCAATATTGCCTGTTCAAATTATTGAGGTTTGTAAAAAACTTTAAACTATACAAAGTGGGCACTCGTATCAGAGTTGCAACTAGTCTAAAACTAAGAGGCCAGACCGGGCCCGATCGATTCAAAACAGCAGACCGGATCGGCCGGCACAAAAACTTTTTTAGACCAGCAAAACACCGGCCGGTTGAGAATTTTTATCACTAAAACTAAATATCTTCATGGAAAAAGTGGTCTTCACTAGCTTTTTCTTATTTCTGTTGGTTGTTTTAGCAAGTTTCATTTGAATGAAGACGAGAAAAATGCTAAAAATTCTAAAAACGGCAAAAAATCGGTCGACACCGGCCGCTCTGGAAATTTTTCTAGACCGGCAACAGTCGACCGGTCTGAGCTTTTACACTGGACTGGGGCAGCACGCGACCGACCGGTCTGCTGGCCTGGTTTCAACTCTGACACATATTTCCATCGCTGAAGTCGGGGTGCGTGATATTGGAGCACTGCTATATTACGGCATCAAAATTTATAACTTCAGTGTTTAAGGCGGCAGAATGAAACGACGGAGAGCCTTTTCGCGATATCTCCTTTGTGTTGCTATGATACTTTCATTCTTTTACTTGACGCCTGCTTTCTGTAAAGGCTAGGGTGAGCATAATTGTTAATCGCAAGTTATTGTCCCCATTTAGTTGCTCCGTTGAGACAACAATTGCTTTTCATAGACCGCAGGAAACAAAAATTTTCTGCTGCGAAAAATCGAGGATTTTTTGAGGCAGTGTCGGTACAGGTTTTGAAAACTGGACCCTTTTATCTACCTTTTGTTGATGAGACGATTTATTACAATAACTAAAACGTTCTGAGTTTTTGAAAGAAAGGTTAGGAGGTAAAGAATTTACTTTTTTCCATCCTAGAGTTTCTACCCGCCTCCATAAACCCTAATTGTTTTTAACGAAAATATTGGATTTTTTAAAGGATTTTACGGTTTAATAAGCCCTAAAGGCTTTTAATAAAGATTTTTTTCTCTTTAAAAACTCTAAGAGTTTATTTCATTAAATTTGATCATAAATGGTTTAGTATTTATAAAAAAAGCGTCTGTTAAAGTTATACCAAGGATTCTTCAGGAAAAAAAACATGCCCCAAGTCTTCTCTTTTGAATGGCGAAGGCTAGAGTCATGTGGCAGTTTTCTATCAAAAGTTATTTCAATAATAGCCATGATCACTTGATGTGGCTAACAGTAATCATTTTTGTCAGTCCTTGATGATCATTAGGAATGACATGTGTGATCTTCATAGTGATCATTACAACTGGCACAGTTCGGTGATTTTGAATATTAATTGTCATCATTTCGCATTTCTTATTAGATACATGAGTAATAATCATATAACAATGGTACATATATTGGTTTGGTTTAAGCTTTAATCATGAACCAGATCGAGAATATAAATTCTCACCATATTTATTTGGTATTATATACCAAATAAATATGATACAATTCTCACCATATTTGGTATTATATACCAAATTATACCATTCTGAAACTTAAACTATCAAAACACAAAATCAATCCTTGCGCGAAGCTAGGATCGAACACACAAACTTGATCTTTGCAGACGAACTGCAAAATCAACTTCGCTGTTCTTTCCTATAATTGCACAACTAGAAGAATCTAATAATATTAGCTATGAATTATACAAGGTTCTTTATTAAACGGATTCTTTTTGGATATCAATTTTGTTGATCACCAAAAAGATACTTTTGATTACCAATTTTTTTGTCATCACTCCCCTGTTCCTTGTATAAAGGGTGTTCCAATAGTTTCGACATCTCTCTGTAAATTAACGTTATTTATATAAAATAACATATAATAAAATTCAGCTGTTTCTTGTAAAAGATTCATCATTTAATCCACTACAAAATGGTATATAGAAGATGATCCTGAGACTTGTGATTCTGTCTTAATTGAACAGAAATTGAAATGCCGCAAAACTTTCAAAAAATAAAAAATTTGTGACGACGATTTTGAATTTTGAAACCCATGTCTAAAATGACAGAAAAAAGATCTCAAGTCGTTTCTTGGCACATTTAGATATCAGTTGAGGAAGATTCATTTCATTTCATCCCCATCTGTTCGATGTGATGAAAATGTTTAGTTAATAATAGGCAGCCAAAACTGAACAACATGGTAGTTTCGGCGTTTCAATTATTTTCAGGGAGATGATGACAGAAATTTCGCATGCGAATCGAATAGATAAAACATTTCTTTTCAAAATGCCGCAAGAATGAGCCTGATTCGTTCATTGCTGAATGGACACTGTTCATTTCACAAACAGCTCCAAAATGCACGTTGACAAAGCTGAAATAAAACAGTCACAGACCTTGTGCAAAAAGCATTATTGAAAACACGCAAATAACGACAGAAAATTCGCATTATAGCTATTCGATAGAGACTTCTAAGAGCTACATTTTGCCTTATTCGAAGTGGGCACAACGCATACATTCAAGCTTATACTGACGAAATACAGTTTTTTGAGTTAAAATTTTGAAAGTTTTGAGGCATTTCGATTTCTGTTTAATTAAGACAGAATCGCAAGTTACAGGATCACCTCGTGTATACTATTTTGTAGAATTAAATGATGAATCTTTTGCAAAAAACAGCTGAATTTTATTATATGTTATTTTATATAAATAACGTCAATTTACAGAGAGAAGTCGAAACTCTTAGAACACCCTTTATATATGATGTTATTGCAAGTTAATTCATATCTAAAAATGTCGAACGATGGAAGTTCATCGTGTTATGAACATTTGTTTACCTCACTTCAACCATTAAGTGTTCAAGAATTCCATCAAACGTACTTACTTGGATTTATATTGACTGATGAAGCATTAGGTATGCAGATTTAAGCAGAAAAACAGCTGATCCACACAAACTTTCTACCTTTTTAAGGAATTCCTTCTGTTCAACAAGAAATATTTCCACAAGCAAAAAGACTTATGTGTTGGTTTTATATGATAAAAAAATTGTGAACATTAAAATTTAGTGACTAAACAGCAACGGGATGAGATTGATAAAGAGGTTCTTACAATTGAGTTTTAGTGATAAAGTATTTAATCATGGCATTAATCTTCTAATGTACAAGTAGCATTCTAATCCATTGCTCTGACTAAGGTTTATGATTATTTTTATGATCAACGAGTTGGAAAATTATCGTACTGGTAACAGAAAGTTTCGAGTTGTGTAATTCTGTCTAATGTTCTATTCTCATTTCAGAAATTATATTTTCTAATTCTTTTTCGTCATAAGTTTTGGATCTTTTTGAGAGGATACGCAGTATACGAACAAGTTCTGATTATATCAATGTTCTCGCAGAAAAGTCCGAGTAAAACATGATGCATCCAAGAGGAACGTTATATACAGATGAGTATATAGGTATTTAAAGGTAGTGGATTTAATATGTCATCCAGAAATAACGGGCTGCGAATCAATGAATGCTAAAATCACACAGAAATATACGCTTCGAAACAAATTACATTTATCGTCATTTCTTCCAGAGATTTAATCGATGTTGGAAGACTGATCAAAGCATTGGAAAACTAATTCATTTACTGTTTGTGCGTCCATCGCATCCGATTATGAACTAGCCGGTTATAAATGGTCTACAAATATTGATCGTAGCAGTATTTTTTATTGGCATGGCGATTTTTACGTCGTGCCATCCTCTGATGCACAAATAACACCATCGGTTTGATTAGATATCTAACGTTCTCGCTTGTAGCTTACGTTTAATAATTTTTTGATATGGCAACAATCGTATTGGTTAGTGGTACCATTAAAGTCGAGTACATGTCCTGTTGATATAAAATAATATTCTTGTTGGCTTAACAATTTTATTTAACTTGTATCACATTAGTGATGAAATATGTAGAAACTACAGATACTCAAACCTATCTTTTTTTAGTAAAAAAAAGTACATTTACTTACTCTTTTTGCCCATAATTTTATAGTGGGGTATAAGTTTCATCTGATCATGTTTCACCATGCGTAGATTTATTTGGTAATTGTGATACGTCAAATTTTGAGTTCAGAACTGCTCTCCTTAACAGAGGCAATGGTCTATTGACTTTATTATTGTTAGACGACATTTGATAATTTCGATAACTGTACAATGAAGATGAGAATGAGCTGTTATACTTTCGTTGCGCTAACGATGGTGGCGATGATAAAGGTGTTGTTCGTTGAAAAACAAAATGAAGATTCATTAATTTTTTCTTATTTTGTTCGAATGATGAATTACGACAAAGAGGCTGTTCTTGCTGTGGTTTATGATAATGATGTTTGAATGGACGTTGAAATAATATTGTTTTTGATCCAGTACCATTTCTATGCTGTAATTTTATACTATCGCTTTTTCCTTTACCAGCGATTATACCACCACCATTTAATTGGTCAAAAGTAGTGTTGCGTTTTAACTGACAACAAAATAAATTTAAAAATGCTCGACGATATTTATTTGATACAACATTGTAGAGAAACGGATTAATAATGGAACCAAAATAAAATGTCAAACCGGATGTAAAAAATAAAATTGCCATTGATTTATGGTGAAATGATGAAGTACTTGATGAAGTATTTCCAACGGATGTTATTAAACGTTGAAAATAAAATGGTGCATAACAAACAAAAAAAGCAATAACCACTGCTACTAAAACGAAAACTAATAAAATAATTATTACATTCAGAAGAAGCCATAAATATAGGAAGTCTTACCGAGCATTTTGATCACAACTTTTCTAGCATGTATTCGTGCGCTAAGCTTAATCATTGGATGTGAAGTCATGTTAACAACAGAGAATGTTCCATGGATTGAACCCTTATGATTGCAATTAGTTGTGTCTTTATTTGTTGCTGTATTACCACTACTGCTTTTATCCTTTTGCATATTATTATTATTATTACTACTACTGTTATTATTACTGTTGTTATTATTATTATTAGATGATGAAGGACTCTTTCTTAACGCAAACGCTTGTTGTTGTCGTTGTTTAACCGATTCTTGCATATTGACTCGTCTCAACTCTTTTCCAATTAGTAAATATATTGTTCCAATGATAAACATTGGTATGTAAAAAAATCCAAATGATGTTATAACAACAATATATTCAAATATTTTCTTGTACTGGCCTGATATTGTACAAAATTTACAAGTTAAAGGTTTAATATTTGTATCATTAACACTAATGATACTTAGTGTTTGATTAGAATCTTTACTTGAAACCATCCGAATACCAATAACATCAAACGAAAGTCCTACCGGTAAACTGACAGTTAATGATATGATCCAAATGATGACAATGATGTGGACGGCACGACGAAAATGACTTAGTTGATGAAATTTCATTGGATATATAATGGCAAAGTAGCGTTCACAAGAAAATCCTAATATGGTCAAAATCGATGAGCAGGTAAAAAATTCAGCGGATATGTTTCGTAGCTTACAAAAAAATTTTGAAAACACCCATTCTTTGAAATAGATTTCGTGTATTTCTAATGGTAAATTACAGATTAGTATCATCAAATCAGATAAGGCTAAATTTAATAAATAATAATTGGTTGGTGTACGCATTGAACGAGTACGTTGGATGATTAGAATTGTACAAATATTGCCAACTAGTCCAACAACAAATATGATGCAATAAATAGTTATAATAACATACTCAGCTAATAACCAATTGCTAAATAGGTTATCAAATAGAGATGGACACTTGACTATATGATTACGTAACATCGCTTAACTAGTTCAAATTGTTATGAGTGAAGATAATAGTTTAAAACTGTTTAGTAACATCTAGGAGAGAAAAATATGCATTTTACTAGAATAGAATTATTTGAATCACAGAAAATGATGTATTGCAGCGCACTTCTCGTTCTTTTGTATTGTCGATGAATTGTACAGCAATTCAACAATTCAGTTCTTTCGAACATGATGATCATCTCATATCATTCACTATTTAACCATTCACCGAATTTTTTAACGCTTGTTACAACCACCATCTAGTGGCTAGTTCAATCAGCAGTTAATATCTCTTTATATTTTCAATTTACCTCTGGTCTTGTTTCCAGTTACATATTTATATATAATGTCATAATTTCTAACAGATTTTCCTTCTATGTTTTCTTTCTATGAGTATTTGTACAGGATCAAAGTCGGTCGTTTCACTACACTTTTTCGATATAAAACTGAAGGTAAATATAATGCAAAAATATTTTTCCCCGACTTTGATTTTTCTGCAAGGGGTTCTAAGAAGTTGGCATTCGATTAATCAAAAAATAATTATATTCAGACTATATCAACTAAATAAAATACTAGGAAATATTATAATGAAGTAAAGTATATGAACTGAAATACTCTTAATACTTTCATGAGGTATTTTTGTCTACACTTTAAAAAAAAAATGCGACTTAGGATCAAATTAAGTCGCATTAATGTGCCTTATTTACGCAGAATAAGGTACATTAATGCGGCTTAATTTGATTCTAAGTCGCGTCTTTTTTTAGACTGTAAATATATGTTTGATGCAAAATTAAATACGAGAAATGACCTGAAAGTTTCAAAAACATCAGTCAGTGGCATAGTCAGCTTTTACGACACATAAAAAAGAACCACTAAGATAATTTGTACAATATGCAGCTAGAGATGTGCGTGACTGTCATGGTTATGATAACTTAAAGTAGGAAAGATTACAGAAAAACTTCTCTACCAATTTTTGTCTGAAAAAGCTTTTTTATTGAATTCTTCTACTAATTTCAGGTATAAGAAATATTTTTTCTACCACAAACAGTTAACTACGACTAAAGATTTTACACTATTATGTCTAAAGTACTTTCTTTCGAGAAAAAACAGCGTGAACATTTTGAGGAAAACAGAATCTGCATTTGTACTGTTATTTATCGTCGATATCCAATATGTAAATAAACTTTAATTTTTTTCTATGAGAACAACGTCGTTTATTTTTTTGTTTTACTCTTGTTTTCTGCAACCATACCAGAAAAATTTAGAGTTACCTCAGTGTAGAGTTATAGCTCGTGAAACTAAAAAAGTTTAAGGTGTTGCTAACCTACTGTAAGAAATTCATTTTTGTACTTTAAATAATAAAATGCTTTTATTCCGTACGTAGTTCGTAGTTGACTTATATGCTTTTTCTGTAAGTCACTTTAAATATTACTTAGGAAAACTCTGCCCTGTCTGATCTAGAAGATAAACTATCGAGTCATACCATAGTATAACATGATCTATGTTAGACGAACCAATGGGCAAAATATGATCTATGTTCTTGAAATTTTGAAATTGTGGGCAGTGCGTTCCGTGTTTCAAAGATTTCGCATTGTACAGAAATTGAGAACATGGGTAAAACAGTGCACACCGTTTTCAATCAATAACTTCAGATTAGATGAAATGAAAATAAGCACGAGCTTATCCGTCGATAAGAAATCTTATTTAGGATTTCCTCTAGAATATACAAGTATATATATAGAACACTGGATGATTTTCACTTCCTCCGCTCAACTTCACCTACTTTCAATTTTTATTGAGAATAACACGTAGTATATAAACTGTATATACTGTGTGCGTTATTCTCATTAATAAAAAAATGAGAATTTCTTTTTGGGAAGACGCAAAGAAAAGTTTAACGCATAGCTTGTTTAAGCAACTCTTCTTAATTTTTCAACGAACGCCGGCCGTGCTACGATCTCACGCATAATCATCGCACAGACAAATCGACACACATCTTATTAAATTCATTTTGGCGAGTTCTATTCAACAGAATATCTCGTTTATTTTTGAAGGTCGAAAGCAGTTTTTTAATCCAATACTCTTGGGATTGCTTTTCCAACATCGTTGACGAATACTATAGTATTTAATAGGGTTCTGTAGTCCATTCTTACATTATCATTTCAGAAGTTTTCTACTTTGCAGTGCTAAATCTTATATGAATACAGGACTGTAAATGAAGACTTACCTAGAGGTATAACAGACCTGATATTGAACTTACAGTACCTATCCCATAGAATGACTACTTAGAGGTGTTAGCCAATCGTCTGATCGGGGATGGCGTAGATTTTCAAAAAAATTTTCTACCTTCGACGGTGGCAATTTACCTTTTATTAAGTCACAAAACATAAAAATCTCAAAAAAACGTTAAAAAAGTGTATGTATGAAATTTTAACTGGCGACGAGCACACGAGACTATCAGAGAGCATATGATTTCAGTTCTGTCAGTTCACCACTACTTTTTCTTGCAGCTGTCATCCGATAAACTAACAATCTCACTAAGGCTTATACGTGATCCCACAAATAGAGAAAGTCTTGCTTTATTGTGAGAATCAGAGTTCTTTTCGAGTTGAGAAATAGTCCTGAATGGCTTAAACTACTTTATATCACGTCAAACTGATATACTAAACTTTTTATTCTCACGCGTATTAAAACTATCACGACCATAATATTATCTCTATGTACTAGTAAATCATTATTGTTTAAAATATATCACAATATAATAATATATATTCTGCTTTCTAAATCGTCACATTTATTTTTATCATTTTTTGCCCATCACAACCTACCTTATTGCCAACAAATTTAAAACGATACTTCTACCATTGTAGTACATGACTTGCTCGAGTATATAGACTACAATAAATATGAAAACGTCGTGGAAAAATTATTCGTCTAAGTCCTTACTGTGTTTGTTTCTCTAAATTTTATGTGATTATGAAGATACACTTTGAAATAAAAATTAAATATAAATACCCTGGTGAGTTTTATAAGAGATAATAGAGAAGATAAAAAAGAGCTTTTTTCCATGACATTCAAGTTAGTTATCTATGATTACTAGACGTAATTGCTTGGAAATCAGGTCATTATATTTCATCTTCTTCATAGTTTCAGTCTAACCGACTGTGTTGTTCGGTGGATGTGTGAAAAATCAAAAACACCGAAACGAACGTATTAAACCAACTTGAAAATATTTTTGCTTCTTTTCACTAATTATCGTTTGTAACCGTACTGAACATAATTGGATACGTGCTGACAAAATTGACAGGTATTTTCAACATTCCTCATCTTCCATGCCCTTCTAAAAGTAGCACATTCAATGCACTACGAGGCACAGCACATGTTGTAGTAGACACATTGTGCACGTAGGCGGCAGAGCGTCTCAGGTTCAGAGGAGGCTGAAAATTTTTTTTCAAAAAGCTCGTCGGTTATCAAACTGGGACCAAAATCAGAGAAGATTACACATAAGCCTACTGGCAAAACAGTATTCAACCGTTTTCCTGTTCAAAAATACTTGATTAAGTTTACACTCTAAAAAAAATGCATTCTTTTTTTTTCCGACGAGCTTTCTGAAAAAAATTTTAGTCTCCTCTGAGTCTGTGACGCTCTGTCGTCTACGTGTACAATGTGTCTACGATAGCAAGTGCCCTGTCTTGCAATACATTGAATGTGCTCCCTTTTCACATGCTCTTGGTTACACGCAGAGCAATATCTGAACGCGACACACGTTAGGACATATTTCTTTTACAGCTGATGACTGCTTGATTAGTACACGTTTTCTCAGAAATACCGTATTGCAAACTGAGATACGTACTTTTAGAAGGGTATCGAAGATGAGGAATGTTGAAAATACCTGTCAGTTTTGTCAGTACGTGCCCAATTATGTTCAGTACGGTTACAAACGATAATTAGTGAAAAGAAGCAAAAATATTTTCAAGTTGGTTTAATACGTTCGTTTCGGTGTTTTTGAT